CCCTTTTCCCCAGGGCTGGAGGCTCGGGGCTCCCCCTCTTCCCTGGGGCTCAGGGCTCCCCCTTTTCTCCAGCACTGGAACCTCGGGGCTCCCGCTTTTTCCCAAGGCTCAGGGTTCCTGCTCCCCCTTTTCCCTGAGGCTCAGGGCTCCCCTTTTTCCTCAGGGCTCCCCCTTTTCTCTGAGGCTCGGGGCTCCCCTTTTTCCTCAGGGCTCCCCCTTTTCCCTGAGGCTCAGGGCTCCTGCTCCCCCTTTTCCCCATGGCCCAGGGCTCCTCCTTTTCCTTGAGGTTCCAGGCTCCCCCTTTTCCCCAAGGCTCAGGGCTCCCGCTCCCCCTTTTCTCCAGCGCTGGAGGCTCAGGGCTCCCCCTCTTCCCTGTTGTTCCGGGCTCCTGCTCCCCTTTTTCCCAAGGGCTCAGGGCTCCCCTTTTCCCTGAGGCTCCGAGCTCCTGCTCCCCCTTTTCCCTGAGGCTCCGAGCTCCCGCTCCCCCTTTTTCCTCGTCGCCCGAGCTCCCGCTCCCCCTTTTCCCTAGGGCTCGGGGCTCCCCCTTTTCTCCAGCACTGGAGAATCAGGGCTTCCTTTTTCCCTGTCATTCCAGGCTCCTGCTCCCCCTTTTCCCCAGGGCTCGGGGCTCCCCCGCTTTCCCCAGGGCTCCCGCTCCCCCTTTTCCCTGAGGCTCGGGGCTCCCCCCTTTCCCCAAAGCTCAGGGCTCCCCCTGTTCCCCAAGGCTTGGGGCTCCCGCTCCCCCTTTTCCCCAGCGCTGGAGGCTCAGGGCTCCCCCTTTTCCCCGAGGCTCCTGTTCCCCCTTTTCCCTGAGGCTTGGGGCTCCCGCTCCCCCTTTTCTCCGGCGCTGGAGGCTCAGGGCTCCCCTTTTTCCCCAAAGCTTGGGGCTCCCCTTCCTTATTTTCTACCCCTCGGTGGTTTTATTCCTTTTTTTAATTTCTTTTTCGCCCCCGGGGGTTTCTGCTCCTCCTAGAAAAAGGACCCGGCCCAGTTTCTCCAGGTGCACGGCCGCGCCTGCAAGGTTCACCTGGACTCTGCCGTCGCGCTGGCCGCCGAGAGCCCCGTCAACATGTGAGTAGCCCCGCGCGGGGCCGTGGTTCTCCCTGGAGGGGTTCGGGGAGGAGCGGTCGGTCCCTCTTCGAAGGCGTCACCTTCCCCGGGGGCTCTCGTGCGGTCGCAGCGGCTTTGAGAGGCGCCGACCTCGCCGGCGCGGGTTTGGGGTGAAGGAGGGGGGAGGATTTTTGCCCGGCTGGCGGCACGTCCCCGGCTTCTCGGCTCCTCGTAGCGCAGCCCCGCGTCCCTCCCGCCCCGGGGAATGAAATCTGGGCCAGTGTCTCCTCCTCGAAGCCGTATAAAAAGGATTCGGCTCCTCCTCTTCCTCCGCCAGAGCTTCTAGGAGACGCCGCTGCGGCAAACGAATCGGTTCCCCCCCGCTCCCCGCTCGGGAGTGACTAACGCAGGAGAGCCCAGCGCAAAAAATGGGGGGGCCCTGCTCCTCCTCAGGGGGGTGAGGGGGGCTTCCCGCCTCTCCCCCAACCCTAACAACCTCCTTTCGCCCCGCAGGATGCCCTGGCAGGGGGACACGAACAACATGATCGACCGTTTCGACGTGCGAGCGCACCTGGATTATATCCCCATGTACACCCCGCCCTTGCTGAACCCCATGTAAGCACCCCGCTTCGACGGGAGCGGCCGGGGGCCGGCTCAGGCCTTTTCGGGGCTTTTTTTGGAGCGGTTGGCTGAGGTTTCGGAGCCGGCGTCGCCGCAGGGCTGCTTTTTAGACTCTGTTTTTGTACTGGGACCAGCGCAGAGATCCCAGGACAAGGAGGATAAGCTGGAGCGAGCGCAGAGGGACGGGTAGGGCCGGAGCACAGGGGGAACCCCAGAGCGGCTTTTCCCTACCTAAAAAGTTCAAGAGGAGGGAGTTGAGCTCTTTGTAGCAAGAGGGCGTGATGAAAAGGCCACAATTAGAGCGAGGGAGTTAATTAAGCAGCGACGCAGCCCCCAGAGGCTGGCGGGGTCTCCGGCTCTGGAGAGAAGCGACGCTCGGCTGGACGGGGGGGCTGCTGTAGTCGGGGAGGGGCCCCCCCCCCCCCCGCCCCAGGGCTGGGTCCGTGGAGAGCAGCCAGGTTCCCTCGGCCTCGGCGCGAGCTCTGGAGAGGAGCTGGATCCCTTTGCTGGGTTTCCAGAGGAATCCTGGATCTGATCCTCAGCCTGCAAACCCCAGCCCTGATGTCTCCCATCCGAGCGGGAAGAGGCCGTGGTTTTTCCGCGGTCCAAAATCCCTTGGGGAGAGGGGAACCTCCGTCTCCCCAGAGGCTCGTGAGCACCAACGGCTGCGTCTTGCTCCTTTCCAGCTCCCCCGAGCAGGAGTCTGATGAGAGAAAGTGCAACTACGAGCGGTACCGAGGCCTGGTGCAGAACGATTTTGCCGGCAGTAAGCGTCTCGTGCAGGCGGGAGGGTCGGGGCCGCGCCGAGACAGGGCGAGCCCCCGCGATTCGGGGGCAATCCCGGCTCTTTTGGGGCACGGCGAGGTCTCATCCCCGCTCTGGGGGTGGCGGAGCGCTGGGAGAGCTGCGTCCCCTCTAACGAGCTGCGGTTCATCAGCTCTCGGAGCTGTTCTCGCTCAAGCGGGCGTAAAGCAGGCTGGTAACTTCCCTCTGTGGTTGCAGTCTCGGAGGAGCAGTGTCTCTATCAGATCTACATCGACGAGCTCTACGGGGGACTCCAGAAGCCAAACGAAGATGAAAAAAAGAAGTGAGTGCGAGAAGAGGTGACGGAGGACGGTTGTCGCGTCCCTGTCCTCCTGGGCTGTGCTGGGAGCGCGGCTCCGCAGCCTCGGAAACACCCGCTCTTCAACTGGTCCCAGTTTTCCCTCTACTGGGGTGGGAGCGAGCAGCCGCCGGCTGCGCCGTCCTCCCTCGGCGACGCTCTGGCGTTCTCCCCTGCGCCTCCGCGCCGAAAGGTCCCTCCCTGTCCCCGTTCCTGGGGCTGAAGCTGCGGTGGTTGAGGAGGGAGGCGGAGGAAGGGCTGGTTTCTTCTCCCCGGGGAAACTTTCGGCCCCGGCGCGGAGCCGCCGCGCGCGAGGGGAGAGGCGGGCGAGGCCTAAGCGTGTCTGTCCCCAGGTTGGCGGAAAAAAAGGCTTCCATCGGCTACACGTACGAGGACAGCACCGTGGCTGAGCTCGAGAACTCCTTGGAGAAGCGAGGAGAGGAGGAAGACTCCGAGGAAGACAGCAACACGGACGAAGACGAAGTCATCCCCGATATCGGTAAGGGGGGGAGGGGGCTGCTCCGGCGGCCGTGCCGAGCCCTGCCTCGCGGCGCGGCTCGGGGTGCGCTGAGCTGCCCGCGCTCGACCCGCAGATGTGGAAGTGGACGTGGACGAGTTGAACCAGGAGCAAGTGGCCGACCTGAACAAGCAGGCCACCACCTACGGCATGGCGGAGGGCGATTTTGTCAGGTACGGCCGGGGAAAGCCCCGGCAACGCGGCCGAGCCTCGCCGCTGCCTCCCCTTCTCGCCGGGGGCTGAATCCCTCGCGGCCGTCCTTGTCTCTAGGATGAGGCACCCCCAAAAAAAGATCTCCCCCGAGCGCAGGCTCCCTTTCCGCCGGTGTTTATTGAGGGTCGCTCTTTTTTTTCGGGGTGGGGGAAGGATGTTGCGGAAGGACAAAGAGGAGGCGGAAGCAATTAAAAACGCCAAAGCCCTGGAAGAGGAAAAGGCGATGTATTCGGTAAGGGGAGCTCCGGCCGGCTCTGCCTCGGCCTTTAGCGGGCCGGGGGCTTCCCGGGGCGCCGCGTGGCCCCCCGCGATGCTGACAGAGGCACCTCTGTCGCCCGTGGGGGGCCGGTAAACGCCCGCGGCGGCTTCGCCCCCGTCTCTTAGCTCAAGGTGCTCTCCTAGGGCCGTCGCTCTCGCCGCCAGAGGAGGGAATTCCGGGAGAAACGCTTGAAAGGGAGGAAAATCAGCCCGCCCAGGTGAGCTCCTCGAGCCCGGCAGCCGGGACGGGGCTCCCAGAGCTCGGCCGCGGCCTTGGTCCGCTCGGATCCGTCCCAGGCGTCATCCGTGCCCGTCCCGGCTTGCGCGGGGCGCCGGGAGCTCTGTCCCCTGGCGACGTCTTCCCGATTTCTCCTTCCCTAACGCCCTCTCCTTCCGCAGCTACGCACGGAGAGACAGCCCCACCTACGATCCCTACAAACGGTGAGCGGCCGCGGCCCCGCCGCCGGTGGGGAACTGGCACCCGGCGGTTTTGGGGAGGGGAGCGTTTTCGGCAACTGAAACCGCCTCCCTCCTCGCCACCTCGCAGCTCCCCTTCGGAGTCCACCTCCGAATCCCGTTCCCGTTCCCGTACCCCATCTCCCGGTCACGAGGAGAAGATCACCTTCATCACCAGCTTCGGCGGCAGCGACGAGGAAGCGGCGGCGGCATCGGCGCAAACCGGCGGCGTTCCCGGAAAAACCACCGCGCTCGGCAAACAGCGCTCCGCCCCAGGACAGCCGGGCAGCGCCGCGGCAGGTCATAGCACCTCGTCCCGGTCGGTAACTCTCCCATCCGGCTCGCTTTCCCAACCCTTATCCGCAGAGACGCTGGCAGGGGGACGCTCCCGACGCCGTGGCCCGGCTGCTGGCGCTTCTCAAGGCGGGGGGAAACGCGGCGGGAGGGAGCG